CAAGAGATAGGTAAGGGATGGGCTTCTCTGTTGGCTCAGACGGTAAAGAATCTGCCTGCCCATGAAGGAGATGTGGGTTCATCCCTGTGTCAGGAAGATACTCTGGAGAAGGAATGGTTACCCACTTCAGTATTCTTGCCTGGAAAATCCCATGGACAGAGGAGGCTGGTGGGCTACAATCCGCAGGGTCACAAAAAGTTGGACACAACTGTGCGACTAACACTTCACTTCACAGGTAAGAGATAAATCTCTAGGCGCCACTTGGTGTCAGCGTGCAAATATTTTCCTAATTTGTCTGTTTGCTAAAGGTCAAAGGGCCTAGCCTTCTGCCTTCACACCCACATCCTGTCTCTACGGGAGCTGTGGAGTGAGTACCACCCAGCAGTCTCCCTTCTTCCAGCCCCTAGGGAATTCCCTTACAGGCCTGACAGATTGACAGCTCTCTCCAAAGTATGTTTACCGTAACGCTTACTTCTAAAAGTTTGTTTTTGGAGCAAGCTGAGGTTATCTTAAGCTGCCGTACTGCTGGCTCTTATCAGTTGTTTTTTGGAGTTGGTTTATTGTTATTATTTTTAAAACTCTTCCACTTTAGAAAAATTTAACTTTAATAAAAAACAACAAAAAGTTCCCTTTTCAGACATGAAATACTTGAACTCTAGTTAACAGGAAAGCAGGCCTTCTCCATTTACTGATTTCGCTTCAGTCATGTGAATTATAAAAAGTAATGCATGTTCACTGCAACAATTCACACAACACAGAAATATGAAAAGTAAAACAAGCCTTTCCACTCCTTCTCCCAAATAGAACAGTTAATAGTCTGATATGTATCCTTCCACACTTTCCTTATATAAATGTATATAAACATATACTGTGAAAATTTACTCAAACAATAATTATTCTATAACTTGCTTTGCTTCTTAATAATATACTATCTTCTATAAACATTCCTTTTCCTACTTCAGTTAAAAAAAAAACATACTTCATTGACTTGCTGGACAAATGAGAGATGAATTTAATAAACCATGTGATCTAATCCTCAAAGGCCCAGGTACTTGAGGGGCTTCCCTGGTGGTGGTCTGGTGGTTGAGAATTCGCCCTGCAATGCAAGGGACACTGGTTCAACCCCTAGTCTGGGAAGATCCCACATGCCATGGGGCAACTGAGCCCACATGTCACAGCTACTGATGTCTTTGGGCCCAGAGCCCAGGCTCCACAACAAGAGATGCCACCACAACGAGATCGCCCGCGCACAGGAACGAAGACCCAGCACAGCCAAAAATCAACCAATCAATATTAAAAAAATGCCCAGGTACGTGATATTACAGAGTCGAGTGACCATCACATACTTTCTCCTGGTACAACACAAACTGTTTTCTATAACCCTATATTTTAAAAACTTAAATATGGCATTTTACATCATGATTAGATTACACACTTCTCCAAGAATTTTTCAATTAAAAAGAAAAAGTCTCTCCAAGTAGCTCATTTTACTTCTGTAGATGTGGCCTTGCTCAGCAAGACATCCATTTCCCAAATAGCATATCCAAATTTAGGCACAAACTCTGTACCTATGGTGCTTTGACGAGGCCTGGCGTGTGGAGAGAGCACAGAAATATTTGTTAAACGCAGGGATAAAACAGTAAAATGGAAATCTTGTTTGAAAGAAACTATGTTATTATAACATCTCAGCTACAGGCAAGAAGGCTTCATCTATTTCCGAGTCATAGTAATAGTTTATCCAAATACAAAATGTCCATCAGAGAATTACACTGTTTACAAAGTGGTCATCTTTCATTAAAAAATAATTCTGGTTGATTCTTTTCAGATTATAAAATATCTTGTTCATTACAGAAAACATCACTGCAAAGAAAGAAGGAGAAAAAAAGGTGATGGTGTGATCCAGCCAAGTTGCTTAATAATAGATGTTTTACTGCAATATAATTTGAAGCAACATTCTTTAATAGCTAAGTCCTAAATTAAACCACCACTAATCATTGACACTGGCAAAGTTTTGTTAAGCCAAGGCATATATTTAAGATGTAGTTTGTATCTCTGCATCATTCGAGTTCTTGCCAAGAGGAGCCTTCTGAAATTAAGAACAACTTTAAAAGTGTCTTTGACCTGACTAGAGATTGCTACACACTTAGACAGCAATATTTCATCTGCTCCAACCTCCCCATCCCTATATAAGACAGTCATACAGAATGCTGAACTTACTAAAAGACAGCTCTAAAACTGAAATATCCTTTGATATAACAGAGTGCACCCAGCTTCATAAACATGAACTGAAGAGTGGAGCTCTGACAGACTAGGTGAATTTTCTGGTCACTTTCTCTCATTTTTGCATATTCTTAGTTGTCCATGAAAGCCTAGCATATTATCTGCCTCTTTATATTCTACAGCTTTAACTACTTACTATCTCACGCTGATGACTTCCAAGTCATTATTGCCAGGCTTGTCTCATCCCCAGGACTCCAGGCTTATATAACCTATGGCTTATTTGAACCTACCCTTAGATATTTAAAAGCTATCTCAAATTACTCAGGCTGACACAAAAACTCATGAAATCGCTCCCCAAATCGGTCTCTCTTCTCCATTGGTCTTTTCCACATCAGCAAACTGTGCCACATCCACACAGTTGCTTAAGCCAAAAACCTAGGTACTATTTTGATTCCCTTTGTTCTGTCACTCCCTACATCATCTAACAAGTTTGGTTGGATCTACTTTCAAAATTCATCACGAAAGCACCCACTCCTCTCCAACTATATCACCAAAGACCTTCCCCAAGCCATCACACCTCTTCCTTGGCAAAAGTTTTGTTACTGGTCTACCTACTTCTACTACTGCCCTTGTAACCAACTCACGGCAACAGCAGGGTGATCTTTTAAAATCATAAATCAGATCTCATCACTCTCTAGCTTTTAAAATCCTTTCCAAGTACACCAGGTATAAAAAAAAAAGTTTTATCATTAAACTTAGTATAAAATCTGATTCTCTCATCCTTGTGTGAAAGGCCCAATAAAACCTGGCCCCAGCCCCCTTCTCTGATTCATCCTGTACCACAGGCAACTCCAACAGCCCCAGAGGTCACAAAGGCCCTCTTGAAGACTAGCTGTGTCATCTGCCCAGAATTCTCTGACCCCAAGCCTTTGAATATTGTGTTGCTTCTTCTTACTCAAGTATCAATTTTTAAGAGTCATCTCCTCAAAAAACCTTCCTGCTTATGAAATCTAAAACAGTCAACCACAATATCTAGCAAAACAGCATATCCATGTATCTTCTCACACATCAATCCACTTACAGGTATCTATCCCAAAGAAACACTGGCAAAAACATGACATTAAATGCCGCCTGCTGGAAATCACCACCAATGAAATAGTCTTGAAATGCAAACACACACACTCACACACACATGATCAATCTTCTTTTGATCTAATTACCAACCCACAGAAAATATATGGGGCAGAAGAATATGTAATAGGTCAAAAAATAAATTTTTGTTTTAAAATTTAAATACAGGGAACTAACCAGGATAAATGACCCATTTTTTCCAACAACATAAATTACTAGGGGAACAAAAAACCCATGGAAGCAGAACTAATAGCCTAAAAAAATTAAAGACAGAAACAATCCAATTCTAACCCTTACTTGGATCTAGATTTTCAAATAACCAAGACAGTTGGTTTAAGAGGATATGATGTACATACACACAATGAAATATTACTCAGGCATTAAAAAGAATGAAATATTACCATTTGCAGCAACATAGATCATCTAGAGAATATCATACTAAGTGAAGTAAGTTAAAAAAAAGACATGTTACAGGGGATCATTTATGTGAAGAATCTTGAAAAAAATACAAATGAATCTACATACAAAATAGAAACAGACTCACAGACATAGAAAGCAAACTTAGTTATTACCAAAGGGGAAAGGGAAGAGTAAATTATGAGTATGGGATTAATAAACAAACACTGCTATACATAAAATAGACAAGCAACAAGGATTTACTATATAACACAGGGAACTATATTCAATATCTTATAATAAGCTATAATAAAAAAGAACCTGAAAAAATATATATAACTGAATTACTTTGCTGTATACCTGAAACTAATACAATATTGTAAACCAACTCTATTTCAACTAAAAAAATACTGTTAATTGGTTGAGTTTGAAACCTTATATGCCCCAAAACTTAAGAAATTACGATTAAAACTAGTTTTAAGAACAGTACTCTGAATAAATGCTTAAAGTGAGTGCATATCTTTCAAAAATACACACTGAATCAGCTATAGGTAATGGTATAATGTGAGGATTTGCTTGAAAATAATACGTAAGGGCAGGAAAATGGGTAGGAGTACAGTTGAAACATGAGCTGGTAATTTTTGAAGCTGGGTAATGGATGGATGGGGGTTCATTACATCAGTCTCTCTACTTTTGTATATATTTGAAGTTTTCCATAGCAAAGGTTTATTTAAAAGTCAATTACTCACTCTAACAGTGTTCTACTTCTCCGCATATTAAAGTTACTATGCAGTGGACAGTATATTTATTTTCTCTTGACAGTCTATGGCTCGCTAAAATAGAAGGTTTTTATATGTGAGAGCAAATGCTTGGTCTTTACTGTTCTTATCCCCAATGGCTAGAACAGTGCCAGTATCTTGATTAATATTTTTGCATGAATAAATAAAACATCCAGGACCTCATGTAGGGTTTTAGAAGGGCTTCCCTGGTAGCTCAGACGGTAAAGCGTCTGCCTACAATGTGGGAGACCCAGGTTCGATCCCTGGGTCGGGAAGATCCCCTGGAGAAGGAAATGGCAACCCACTCCAGTATTCTTGCCTGGAAAATCCCATGGACTGAGGATCCTGGTAGGCTAAAGTCCATGGGGTCGCAAAGAGTTAGAAACGACGGAGTGACTTCACTTCACTTCAACTCCACCGTAGCCAGCAAAGTGTCAGGGGAAGTGTGCCCAGCACTGACCAGCAGGGGCTTACCTTCACCTCGATGAAGTCAGGGTTCCCCAGGGACACCAGCTCAGCATAGGCCTGGAGCTCATCCACGTTCCATGCCTTCACTAGAGTCAGTCTGTAGACAGTACGTTGTTGCTAAAAGACAGGAAAAGACAACTTTGTTTTTAATCACCTTGGAAGATTTTCAAATTTCAACCCACAGAAAATCCAGGCAATGTGAAATCCGGTATGAACTTTTAAAAATTGAAGTTTACACTTTGTAGAAAGATGAAAAAAAAGTAAACAATATCATAAGACTCCCAGAAGCCTTATAGGCACAAATATTGGCATATTTCTCTTCTCTCACTAATAGTATCTAACACTAGATAAGTGCTAGTTGCTCAGTAATATCTGACACTTTGCAACCCCATGGACTGTTGCCCACCAGGCTCTCTGTCCATGGGATTCTCCAGACAAGACTACTGTAGTGGTTAGCCCTTATTCCCTTCTCCAGGGGACTTCCTGACTCAGGGATAGAACCTGGGTCTCCTGCATTGCAGGCAAATTCTTTACTGTCTGAGTCATTAACACTAGATAAGACACCCAAAAGTTTCTTAACAAATACACTGATTCCATTTGGTCAGAAATAGTAAATTGACTAAATAGTTTTAGACTGTCAAAAATGAATTCAAATAACCTTCAGGCTCTCCGTTATCAATCACTCAAACTATTTATGATAAGGATTTTTAACTTACACTTTTCCTCTTTCCTGCTTTCTTACTATTTAATGACACCTAGTCGGCAGAAAAGGCACACTGATGAACTGTCAGTGTTGCCATTTGTCTGTCTATCATGTAAAAAAAAAGGTACTGATTTTCTGAAAAGCAACTAGACGACAGTCATGCAAACCTTTAAAAACTTTATACACTTTGACTTTCCCTTCCAGGACCCTACACAAACTGTTAAAAGTTCAAGGACTAACTCAAACATCTCAAAACAACATGATTAATGATAGTTTAAAATCTACAACAAGAGTGGGGGCAGAACCTATGAATTGCCTATAACCAGTAGATACGGCAAAGGTGACTGGTGCCTGTGGTTATGTGCGCATGATTGCATCCATTTGGAGCAAGTTCCTGGGCAGTATCCATGCTGCTAAACCTCAAACCATGCTTTAAGTAGCAAGGCTCGTTATACTCAAGAGAAAGACAAAGTGAGACGAGAGCTGAAAAGAATGATACCAATCTCCACATGCCCCCCAATGGCCACGGCAGCATTTATTTACAATTCCCAAGATATGGAAGCAACTTAAATGTCCACCGAAAGATGAGTGGATAAAGATGTGGTATATATAAACAACAGAATATTACTCAGCCATACAAAATGATGAAATTTTACCGTTTGGAATACCATGGTTGAACTTGGAGGAGACTATGCCAATTGAAATAAGGCGGTCAGAGAAAAACAAACACTGAATGATATCACTTATATGTGCCATCTAAAAAAAACACAACAAACCAGTGAATATAACAAAACAGAAACGGATATAGAGAATAAATTAGTGGTTACCAGGGGCGAGAGGAAAGGAGGGAGGAGGGAGGAGGGAGATAGGGGTAGGGGACCAAAAGATATAAACCATTATGTATAAAATAATCCACAAGGATATATTGTACAGCACAGAGGAATATAGCCAATATTTTATAATAACTATAAATGGAGTATAATCTTTTTGCAAATTGCTATATTGTACACCTGAAACTTACATAATATTGCACATCAACTATACTTCAATTAAAAGAATACCAATCTCTCTACTTTTAATTATATCTGAAGATAACCAAGAGATGAAGAGATGAATATCATTAGGTGGCCATTTTAGAAAATGCACTCAAAACTTATTTTTAAAATGCAGCATAAAGAAAAGAAAAGAAAGTGAAGTTGCTCAGTCGTGTCTGACTCTTTGCGACCCCATGGACTGCAGCCTACCAGGCTCCTCCCTCCATGGGATTCTCCACTCAAGAGTACTAGAATGTGTTGCCATTTCCTTCTCTAGGGGATCTTGCAAACTCAGGGATTGAACCCGGGTCTCCTGCATTCCAGGCAGACGCTTTAACCTCTGAGCCACCAGGGAAGCCCCAAAATGCAGCATATAAAGCATGAAAAGACACACTTCTTCCAGATTCCCTTTACATAGCTAGAATTCACCCAATGCCAAAACCTAACAAAAATGGTAGAGAACTGCAGGCCAATCTCACTTGTATTTATACACGCAAAAGTCTTACCAAAATTTTAGCAAAAGAAATTAAGCATTATGTTAAAAATTATAGAAAAGGAGAGATGATTCAATATTAGTGAAGTCACTTAGTCATGCCTGACTCTTTGCAACCCATGGACTGTAGCCCACCAGGATCCTCTGTCCATGGAATTCTCCATGGACACTGGTGTGGGTCGCCATTTCCTTCTCCAGGGGATCTTTCCCACCCAGGGATTGAACCTGGGTCTCCTGTATGTCAGGTGGATTCTTTACCATCTGAGCCACCAGGGAAGCCCATTCAATATTAGGTTATGTATTAATATTAATATAATTCATCACATTAATATTGTGACACAGAAAAATCAATCAGTCATCTTATAGATATAGTTTAAAGTCCATCCCTGATTTTAAAACAAAATAGAATGAACTGAAAAACCATTTGGTAAACTCAAAAATTAAAAAATTTACCATTAACATAAAGAAAACACCCTCGAGTCAATAGTCCATGTCATTCTTATAGATGTAAAAAAGAGGTATTTCTATTTAATCAGACTAACAGCAGAATGTCCACTCTATTATCTTTATAAACACTTTTCTGAAAGTTAAAATCAGAGCAATAAGACAAGAACAAGACTAATTGAATAGTATACCAAAAAAAAAGTATAGTATATCACTAAAAAAATTAAAAAGTGATAGTATATTACTTTAAAAAAGTGATAGTATATCACTTGCAAATGATGTAGTCAGCTTCCTGGAAACCTAAGAAAATCAACTAAAAATCACATTAAATCAAATTGGCCAGTGACCAAATAAAAATAGAAAAATAAGCAGCTTTCCTGACATAGAGTGGTAGGATAGATGTGGACTCTGAAAGTGAAAGTCGGTCCAGCTCTTTGCAACTCCATGGACTATACAGTCCATAGAATTCTCCAGGCCAGAATACTGGAGTGGGTAGCCTTTCCCTTCTCCAGGGATCTTCCCACCCAGGGATCGAACCAGGGTCTCCTGCATTGCAGGCAGATTCTTTACCAACTGAGTTATCAGGGAAGCCAGGCCAGACTGAATCCCAGACCACATACTAGCCATCTTTAACTCTGACTCCCTGTGTGAAATGTAGGTTTTGCACAGGACTGCAAGTGTTCATCGACATAATGCTTCGGTTTCCCTGGTGGCTCAGCTGGTAAAGAATCCACCTGCAATGCAGAAGGATCAATGTTTGATCCCTGGGTTGGGAAGACGCCCTGGAGAAGGGAACGGCTACCCACTCCAGTATACTGGCCCAAAGAATTCCATGGACTCTATAGTCCACGGGGTTGCAAAGAGTCAAACATGACTGGATGACTTTCACTACTACATAATACTTAGATCCATGCTGGCAGCAGGAAGTCATAATATGTATTAGCTATTATATGCCATATATATGCTACATATATACTATATATACATATATCTATATAGCATATACATATATATTACAAAGCACAAATTGTACTTTACAAAATACAACTATAAAATACTTGATGATTATTTATGAAATAAAATGGACAGTGAAAAGAGGAAACATTTCTGAGACCATAACAAAAAACTAGCCTACACGGAGAGCCATGATAGATTTCTAAATATAATGTAATTCCAATAGGAGTTAAAAATTCTTTTCAACAAATAAACTAGCAATGATACCAACAAAAACAATAGCAGGAGTTGGCGATGAGTCAGCCCTTACTATGTGCCAGCTGTTGTGTTTAGTATCTTAGCAAAGATTCCAATATTTGTCTCTTCTTTGCAACAAATCTTATAAAATAGGTTTATTATCTTCACATTATAGATATGAAATTGAGGCCCAGTGCTGCTAAATAAATTTCCCAAAGTTACACAGTTGGAAAGCAGCAGAGCTCGGATATGAACCCAAGCAGAATGAATCCAAGGCAGACTCTATCTCTCATTGCTAAACCTTCTCAAATTGTGAAATAAATCATGCGAAGAGAAATGTACATAAAACACAAATGTATTGCCCAAAGGATTAACACAAAGAAATATCCATCGCCCACCCAGCACCATCCATTCCCTTCACCTGAAAGCTATCTGATATTCCGACTTCAACATTAAATTTTAGACTTGTGCCTATGTTTGAAATGTATATACAAAGAACCATATATTCTTTTGTGTCTTGCTTTTCTCACACAACATGGTGTTTATACAGTTCATCCATGTTGCTGTATGTTAGGATCTGCTCATTTTGTTATCTAACATTCCATTACATGAGTATACAATAATTCATTCAGCCATTATCCCCACTGATAGACATCTAGATTATTTCTACCTTTTAGCTGTTGTAAAACAATGCTGCAAATTTATGGTTCCTAGGGGTGGGGGGGGAGGATAAGTTGGAAGATTGGGATTGATGCATACACAACACTATATATAAAATAGTAACTAATAAGGACCTACTGTATAGCACAGGGATCTCTCAATACTCTATAAAGGCCTATGTGGGAAAAGAAGCCTATAAATATATATACAATATAAATTTTATATATTAATAATATAATTATATAATATATATATTATAATTATATAATTTATATATTATTTATATATTTTATATATATTTATATGTAAATATATTTTAAATATAATATATATAAAACTGATTCACCTTGCTGTACACTTGAAAATAACCCAACACTGTAAATTAACTATACTCCAATAAAAATTAAAAGAAAAACAATGCTGTTATCTCTCATAACAATAGAGTTTAGCTTTTTCTACTTTAGGGAATTTTATGAAACGCTCTTATGACACGTGTTCTTCTATGTCTGCTTCTTTTACTGAATTTAATTCACTGAATTTGATGGTGACTCTGGCTTTAGATATATTTTTACTGCTGTTTAGTACTCCAGTA